TAAAAATCTTCCCGCCCTCAAGGGTAGCAAAAAGATCTTCTGCTGTAGGTAAGGAATGATGTGAATCAACTAACACTTTATTTACCGTAACCTTATAATCCCCACACAACCGTACTTTACCATCACCCTTCGGTACAACTACTATGGGGGAAGCCCCTTGGTCTAACCCTGGCCACCATAAGTAGCTTCGAGCTAACCCTTTCATTCTACATATGCCCAGGTGCTGTTCATGTAAGTCATTTAATAATGTTGACCTAAATTTGCCAGGTATTACTACTCGTAATTCCCACAAAATACACCTCTTGTCAACTGACAATTCATTTCTGCGTATGAAGAAAGGCTGTATCTCTTTATCCTTAACATGGTTTGGCCAACCATTCAAAACGTAATCATACACCTTAGCTAATAAAGGATCTTTGATTGTTGCTTTACCAATATCATTTGCCGTTATAGGTAAGTCATCAACATATGAGAAATAATTTACTTCTACATGTTCATCTCTAGAATCTTTGGTTGGTAACCTAGATAACATATCTGCATTACAGTGATCATTAGATTTCCTATAGACGATGTCATATTTGTACGCTGACAATAGTAACGCCCAACGCTGCATTCTTGCTGCAGCCAAAGTGGGCACAGGGGATTCAGGGTTTAATATAGCAGTAAGTGGCTTATGATCGGTGATCAAAACAAAACGTCTCCCATATAAGTATTTATGGAATTTTCTGACACCATACACTATGGATAGTGCCTCGCGTTCAATTTGCGCATAGTTTTGTTCACTGTTAGATAGTGTCCGCGACGCAAAAGCAATGGGGCGTTCCTTACCATTTGGCATTATGTGCGAGATAACCGCACCCACACCGTACGGAGAAGCATCGCACGCTAACCTCAATTCCCTGTTTACATCATAATGTACTAGCAATGAGTTATCTAGTATTAATTTTTTACTATTTTGGAATGCAACCTCGCAACCCTTATCCCAGCACCAAGGTGTCTGTTTGCGCAATAGCGCATTTAACGGATTTATAACCGTAGATACATTTGGAAAAAATTTCCCGTAGTAATTTAGTAAGCCTAAATAGGAGCGCAATTCGGTAATGTTTGTGGGACTGGATGCTTGTGCAATCGCTTCTACCTTGTCTGAAGTAGGGTGTATACCATTTCCATCTATTTTGTGACCCAAATAGACTACTGATGGTTTACCAATTTCACACTTCTGTTTTTTAACTCTCACACCATATTTCTCTAACCGTTGAAATACTTGGTTTAATCTAACCCAATGTTCTGACTCAGATGGTGCAGATATTAAAATGTCATCAAGGTAACATTCTACTCCGGGAATTCCCTGTAATATTTGGTCCATCACACACTGGAATATTCCTGGTGCAGATGATATTCCAAATGGAAGGCGATTTAATTGGAATAGACCCAGGTGCGTATTTATTGTGATATACTTCCTTGATTCACTATCCAAGCTTAATTGTAAATAAGCATTGGTAAGATCAAGGGTGGTAA